GCTGATTACATACACATGTACACTTATATGCACGAATTGATGAATGTACATTTAAATCAACAGCCGCGCCTGCGTAGTGTTATATATTCGTATATATTTAGATTATAATCGTAAGCGATATACATATGTACGTATGCATCAGTATAATTTTTGTTTTATTGAAAGTGAAATTTGTGAGCAAATGTTTCATGCAATTATTTGGATAGAAGTTTGAATCAACTATAAAATATAAAATAAAAGTTAAGTCAAATTAAAACATTTAAATATGAAATAATTGGCAACCATATTAAAATCGCTAAATTACAATCACAGAATTGATGGAAAATGAAAAATAAATTTTCAGCTTTTGCGATTTCATCTAAAGATTTCTCTCATTTTGTTCAGATCAAGCGAAAAATTGTTTACCAATACTTCCAGGACTGTCCAAAAATTCTGGCCGAACGGATTTCTAACTAAGCAATTAAGAGAATTTCAGAAATCTAAGCGCCAATTAACTAAATACCTAATTGGAGCTTTAACGAATTAATATTTAATTGACAGTAACTTAATGAAAATTGTCAGCTGGACTTAACGTAAACCATTTGAAAGCAATTATGCTTCAAGAATAGTTTTCATAATAGGATCGAAAACTATCATAGGACAACATGAGCACGTATCATACGAAAATACGTTTCAAAGATTTGTATCCACTTGTGAATTTAAAAAATCGGTTCGAATATAGAATATATTTGAGATTATTCTCTGAAAAGGTGAAGTTAATGCGCCAAATAATTACGGAAATATGAGCGTATTTATAAGATTTTTCGATCTTTCCTTGTTTTTATCTATTGTAATAATAAGTTGCTATGGTTTTTAAGATAACGTTAAGCAGACAAATGTTCCTCACCGTCTGGCAATTTTTTTCGATGGTCTTGGAGATCGGCTGCGGGAGCAAGGGAATGCCTCTCAAAAAAATGTGTTTTTCTGACTAACAAATAGATGTCCCCTCAGCAACTTGAATAAGGCTTCACTTAATATTTAAAAAATAGGTTAAATACTAATTTTTTAAGTTAAATTGAGTAGGTGGAAACTATGACTCAATTAATATCTAATTGCTTAACTAATTGAATCGTTCGATGATGGTTTTGATGAAGTTTTAAAGAAAGTTGTCTGCACGTACAAATACAAGAAAATTTGTCTAAATTACGGTGCTGTGGCAAAGGCCTTTTAGTCTTCAGTTACTTAGGTTACATGAAATTGAATAGTTTGCGATAATCACTGGTAGCTGCCTGCAAGTTTCCGTTACAACATACTACAAATCTTCAGATCACTAATAAGAAATGATCAATATTCCAAAAATTGTAAAAAAACAAAATATGGACGTATATTTATGTTATATGATCTGATACCGAAATTTTATAACGTAGTTGAGGGATATAATAGTCATTTTGGATATAAATAAATTTCGCGATTGAAATTTATTATTTTTTTTTTGAAGTTACTGGCATAATATATACTGGCCCGAAATAATTATTTAAATTTAAAGGAGTATATGCTTATAAAGAATATATATATGCGAATATTTCCTCTATAGAAAATTTAGGTCAGCCGCGATTTGTAGCGTCATAAAAATATTTCACACCACTGTACTCATATAAAAATGTGCGAGTTTGTAAAAGGCACTGTATAAAAATAAAAACAGCAATGCAAAGCGAAACAAAGTGAACTGAAGCTAGGGAAATAAGAAAAACTAAAACGAAATATTGCATTGCCACAAAAGCGCATAAAAATTCAAACTAAACGAACTGTAAAAAAATGACAATTTAACCGTTGACAGCTACAAACATACAAACACACAGAGTATGTAAATATAACAGTATATGCAGCAAACCACCTTCCCATCTACCGATTTTCACATAACGTTATTTTGTAGCTTTGCTTTAAAGCTTTATTTTAGTTTTTTATTTTGTTGCTGCGCTCCTAAAGTTTTAAACATTTTAATGCATGCCTTAAATTTACTTGTCAATTTAGAAAGTGCCCAGCTGACAGTTGGGGGTTTGTCGGTTACGCGGCACTTCAACGACGCTCCACTCAGCTGTTTCACCGTATCGCCGGACCGTAACGCCAGCGTCAAGTCTAGCTTGTGCCTCGCTTGTTCGTCCTACCTACCTACCTGAGCTGTCAACTTGAGGCTTGACTCAGTTTATTTGATGGCTTGTCACTTTAATGTGGAAAAAAAGTGCTTAAGTCTAGCAGCCAATTGCCTTTGTCAAGCTGTCGTTACTCTCAAGTGGAGAGGGGGAAATGTACTAAAATATTGTGTGCGAGTCTTTTACATCTCTATTAAAATATGTCCGCGTTTTTTACTAAACTCTAAAAAAACGCTTCGCTTTCTCGCATTAAAGCGTTGTAAATGCAGATACATATGCAAATGACACTAAACCGTTTTACCAACTCGTCGTTTTAAAGTTTAAGCCACGCTTAGCAGAGCATAGCACTTGATATAGATATGCTTGTGGGAAAACATGTAGTATTCGAAAAGTTTTTATGCCCGAATACAAAAAACGTATGGCAATAGCTAAGCAATAAATTATCCGAACAAAGTTATTACAATCTATATTTATTACTTAGAGGAATACACATACCGTTATCTTGTATACGTGAGTAATTTTAAATCTCTTTTAAAAACTAAAATATTTGTTGAGCTCTGTTTAACTTTAAAATGTTAGTAAACAAACTTCTTAATGGACTGGATTCGTACATTTCCACAACATCAACTTTCTAGTCTTTCGAAAACCGAGAAACACCGATAGGCACAGATATTCTAAATCTTTCATTTAGGAATGCTTTAATGTTGTGTAGATCTTATATACTACTTCAAGTCAGCCTTTTAGATGATATTAATGACAATAGAACCCAAAAAGGGCTGGGCAACCGTGGCGGCAACTAAATATATTATTACTATTGAAGTAACTTAGACGAAATATATGGATAAATATGGATCAAGGGTTTTTCAGTCAAAGCCCACAGGTCTTTCTCTGACATATATTTATATTTTTTGACTCTCAAGCGCCTCTCGTAGAATTTTTACACATGAAGTAATATTTTAACAACCCGTCTGGTATACGAGTTATTTTATGATTTAGTCGGTATGATTTATTCGGTTCTATTGTTCTTTCCACGATTAATTCCTGAATTAATAAATACCAAATATGTCAAAATGATTCTCATATGTATCTTAAGCGGTTATATCTACTTGCAAGTCAGAAAAAACCTGTTTTTTAAGAACCATTATATTTAATAAATAATTAAAATAAAAGTATAATTAGAGAATTTTGTGTACTTTATTATTCAAGGATCAATTTTGAAAAATTTGGAATCTCAAATTCAAAAACTATAAAATAAGTATTATTAGTATTGATGCATAGAGACAATGATCGACAGACTAAACAAAAATAGTGTTTTGTGAAAAAATGTCCAAATCAGAGTGGCTTAAAAAATTGAAATTATTATCAAAAATTGTATGCTTTCGAGCGTTAAGTGACTAATATATCTAAGAAAATCATGTGAAAATTTCAAGTCAATCTGTGTAGCCGTTTCAGAGAAATTTTCCTTATCGACTTTAAAAACAGCGTTTCAAGAAAAACGCGTTTAAAGCTTTTGGAGCCGATTACAGTAAGTTAAACATTTCTTACGAAAACGACCAAATCTCCGAAACTATTGTATTTGCCGTATCAAATTTTCGGAGAATACTCCCAAATATGTGTATGGTATTGTGAATTTTGAATTTCACAAGTAGGTATAACCCCTTAATTACGAAAATGATGCAGGGTAAATAATTTTATCGTGTAAAGATAAAGAAGATTCCTATTCAGTAATATTGTCAGAAGAAATATATATGATTTGCATTAAATTTGTTATGATGTTTACTACATTCAGTCCACTTTGTTTGTTATTTACTATTATATCATCCACATTGGTTCACTCATCGGAGAAAATGGACATCGGAGGTCTTGATCAATAACTCGATAGAGTATTTGCATGTATCAACGTTTAAATTAGTAATTTAAAGAACATACAAGGAAAGCTTACAGAGGAATTATAAAATTAAATTCGATTTTTAAATTTAGTACGCGGCAATGAAAGGTTTAGGCGGTAATGCCTTTCAAAGACTCCAAGCTTACCGTAGTGCGAGCCTTATCTGCAAGACCTTCTCGAAGAAACAATCTACTTTATTGTAACTGAAAGATTATTTATCTACTAGTTTTCAAATATCTTCACAATCAATAAATTATTCACACATAGGGATGTACTCTGAATCACTTGAGGGCTTTATAGAGTTCGATAATTAGTTAGTTATTAGTAATGATTAATAAAAAATGTGAAAACTTAGTTTCGAATAAGCTAATAAAATTGTCGACCTCAACTGCTTTTCAGTCTCTTTATTTTAAGTCATTTCATAATCACATTTCAAGGTCATGACTCACTACTTAATCTTATCTTTTTTATCTTATATAATTATGTTTATTTATAAAGGTAATAATAATCGGAACACTCATATAAGATAAAATTTGTATCATATCTCGCTTTAAACAAAAGCGAATTGCCATAAATATGAGAACTTCCTTCTGTATTAAGCATTTTGCTTAAAAAAAACCTAAGCCTCATACAAAATAAACACAATATAGCACAGTCAACTAATATCGCTTATCATTTAGAAGCATTTGTGTCGCCGAGATGTAAACATTCTCAATTTTGTTGTTGCACAGATGATTAACACATAATTTATTTGTATTTATACAATTTTGTAACTTTATGATAGGCCTAGAAATTTCAGCTCTGCTTTTATTTGTTCGTTGATAAATGGGACAACACTGCATTATCAATTATATAAAAATTATTAATAAGATTTTTACGATTCTACTTCCTATACAATGTAGATAACAGCACCTACGTGGTGTCTAAAAACTATATTATTGCAAAAATAAAATGAAAAGGCCATAAACTGTGTCACTACTCACCCAGATAGATAGCGCAGGATTTGTTTACAGGTGTCTTAAGATATCGCCAAATGCTGCAAAGAAAGGAAAAAAAAATTCAGTGTTGGTTGGCTTTTTTGAATTGTTTATATATAACTGTTTAAAGTTTTTTATTTTTTTAATTTCTTAACATTTTGCTGGGTGAAATAAGACAGTCAAAAATTAAAAAAAAAACTTTTTTTATCTCAATAAATGACAAACTTTTCCAAACACTTAATTCCGATCGTTCAATTTGCAAGGCAGCTGTATGCTATAGTGATCAGATCTGAACAATTTTTTCAGAGATTGTACCATTGGACAATAACCCATATCAAATTTCGTGAAGATATCGCGTCAAATGAAAAAAGTTGATATCGACGGTTCCGACAAATGAGCAGTTCGCTCGCTTGAGGACGTGGGCAAAATTGCAGATCGGTATCTCAAAAAATGACGGATTAGTTCGCGTATATACAGACAGACGGATATCGCTAAATCGACTCAGCTCATCACGCAGATCGTTAATATAACGTCTCCGACGTTCCTTTTGAATGTTACAAACTTTATGGCAAATGTAGTATATTCTGACGCTTGTGCAATGTTGTTTTCATCCTTTTTTAGTGAAGAAATTTTTTTTTCGCGTTAAAAAAATTTGCAGCAATCCTGTAGTATAGTTTTCTATAAATTACTATAATAAATTTTAAGTCTTATGGTTTAAAAATACAAGAAAAAAAAAGAAATTTGTATTTTCATTTGTCAACTTAACCATTCACAATAGTAAAACTGATCTGAAATATGCAAATTAAACTTATTAGCATTGAATAAGGTATCAGCAAACTCTCTTGTACGCATTCAATTCGAAAGCAAAAGCGAGCAGAGAAATGTCGAATCGAAGACAGCTTATTTAAAATTATTTGTCCAATACAATACAATAAACGCGAACATGAATCGAACTTTTAGCAACATTAGTTCACATTATCGAATTACTACTGTATCAATAAACCTTACAATGTATAAAAAAATTTGTATAAAAATTTAAGGCTTGCTATTTCACAACACAGAATTTAAAATACAAATACTGTCAATGGTCATGCTGATTCCAAGAAAGGTCTATTGCTTTGGAATCCACAATAAAAATGTATTCACATAATTACTTGTAAGTATACTTGTACACAAAGTATGTACTTGTAATTGTATGTACATATATTAGTAGCTGCTTTGACTGCTTATATATCTATAAGAAATAGTTATTTTTATAAATACAATTATATATGTATATACAACATATAAACGTAATTATGTATATAACCACACGGTGATGTGTTAAGTTATTTGCTTAAGCTGCAAATGCTAGTAATTATTGAGCGGATATCGCCTCGAAACACAAGAGAATTAATTAGAATGCTTAGGAGCAACTACCGCGGTAGCAATGGCGCATACCTTCCAACATACATATATACATACGATATATATGAAAGTCTATATAATAATCTGTTTATATGTAAATTTTCCTAAATACTTGCACATGTCGCCCGCCGCATTCTCTTCAGTTGTACGTGCTTACCATAACTTTTAGGAACAGTCCCTCGGGCTCACTCTTTCTCGGCCATTCGCAGACAGGCCAACCATCAACTGTCACTTGGCTTGGCATATTCCAACAGCGTTGATTGATAGCGTTTAAGTCCAAGTGAAGTCGCATAGAAAGATCATGAAGACACGCAATAACTTTTCTACAAAATACGCGACTTTGGTAAAAGAGAACAACAAAAAGTTAGCAATATGTCTGCAACTTTGTCCTGCGACGAGTCTTTCTGCTCTTCAAGTTAGAATTATTTTGTATTCAAAACAGACCCCAAAATATTAACAGTGATGACATGTTAATGCAGTCAAGTAAAAATTACTTTCTTGAAGAAAAGCAAAAATATTCAAGACGAATATTAGAATATTCTAATAAGCACTTACTCGAACGTTTATATTGTTTTTGAATATTCCGGACGTTATTTTTGCCACGAGAGAATACTTCTCTTCTATAATAATTTAGATTAATGTTCTCTACTTAGATCTCACTGAACCAACTTAGCCTTTAACCAGATCTAGACCAACTAGAAGTTGTTTCGAAACAAGAAAATAAAGAAGAAGAAGAAGAAGAAGAAGAGAACAACATGGACACACTTGCGGTACGCCGGTCATAATTTCTTAACGAAATTGTTTATTGTCACTGCTCTAGATCAATTGAGAGCTTAAGCTGCTTCCGATGTCCACATAAGTGTACTTGTGAAAAAATATTCGAAAATGTATAGCAGAGTTTTAGGCGCCAAGGACGAACACTCAATGTGCCTTTCGCCATTTTTCATTGAATAGAACTTAGTAGTAAGACTTCTTCGCCACAGAGATTTACTTAAAATATTACAATAATTTATTTTAGCGCTTTCACACATTGTATTTTTGTATGTGCTCAACAGCTTAAAATTTTGAAGTTTTGCTTCGCTAAATAATGTGTGTCTAATTAATACAAAATAGCGCATAATTGTGATTTATGATTAATTTTTTTTACCTAGCTGCTCGTTTTTGAGCTTCTTGTAATTTGTTGCCCAATTTATTTTAAGCGTTAATAATTGGCAAAATGATGTAATTTTTTAGAGTTTAAAGAAGCTGTGCTAGAGAAGAGTCATAATAGAAAATACATCTGGCAGGTATAACGAATTATGAATGAATTATTGGTTGTTTGTATTTTAATATTTTTTTGTAGTATATTTATGACAGCAATTAGGCGTCGAAGGCAGTTCAGAAAAAAACCTTACGTACAAGAAGCGGAAGATTAATCATCAAAAAATTAATTAGGAATGATGGATGCCTTGTACAAATAAATCTGGTTTAACCTCTAAATAGTAGAGTCGGCAGATTTAGATGGTTTCCGCTAATGAAGGGTCACCAATTAGATTCTGATAAATTTATAAAAGGGGTAAGTTTATATTTATTATGGAAATATTTTCAAAGATTTAAAGCCGTTCAATTAAAATCTAAACTTAGGAAGAGTTTACTCTATAAGTAGGCCAATTTAATTGGAATAACAATTATTTTATAACTGTAGTCTAGAAGTTTTACTTTCGAACTACTTATAAATTGGGAACCTTTAAAAACCTTATTTTTTGATCCGAAATTGAAATTAATTAATATGAGTGAATTCGATACATAATATAATCGACTATGATTCATTATAAACAGATAACGCAAAAATACAAATATATAACGGTACCGCCGAATTCTCTGTCGAATCGAAGTTAGACTTTTCAAATCTCAAAAACTGTATTGACGTGAAAACCTAGGTCAGTATTTAAAAAAGTCTTTTTAAGCATAAAATCGAGGGATCAGAGATCGTGATACATTTAATTTATATTAGTTAAAACTGCTATATTTTTTAGAATTGCAGCCCATTTCGAAGTTTGGGCTACACTATTTTCCCTATGTAAGCTCCTATGCTCTAACGGGTTCTTCACTATTATCTCCGTGATATTACCAGCATTCCGGAGCAAACAAAGCAAATTTAAAAGCCTTCGGCTAAATCCGTTGTTAACTCAGTGTGTTAAATAAACAAGTACCATTCGGTAGGTCGAAAATCTACCGCTTCAACAATGTTTCCCAAAATGTTTCAACTTAGCGTTGAACTTGTGAAACGGTTTTAGGTAAAATAAAACCTCTCCAGATGGCGCCATAATCGACTTATTACTAAAATAGTTATTAATGATTTGAAAAAATTGTGCCGCTAGATGGCGGCAGGGCTAAATGATCAACAAAAATAATACTTTAATTATTTTTAAATGCCTCTATTATTTTTGTTCATCATTTAGTATAGATGAAAAGAGAAAGTATATAGAATTTTTCCAAACATAATAATAATTTTTAATAGAAAATGATAAAAAATTGCTGATAAATAATTATTATTTTTTAGTTTTTTCAATGGCACGTGGCTATTGTGAACAATACGCCCACAATATATTGTAGAAATATTATTGCGAACACATGTTCATGTTTAGATAAGTAATTAAATAGAAATATAATATATATATACAGCTATATGCACATATATGAGTATGTACATAAATAAATTTAGTATTTCACGCAATTCGAGGCGACTAGAAATGTCTTTCATCCAATTTTCTTAAATTGACATACCCCAATTAATGTCAATTGACATTTTTTAACGACATAGTTTCGCATTCAATTGGATAATTTATATGACGCCCGTTTTTAGTTTCAAATCAAACGGAAAAAATTCGTACGAATTTCTGAACCGTCGACAAAATAGAGCTTTATTCAATTAAAAGCAGACTTTTTGTAAAAAAAATTGAAATACAAAAAGCCATTAATAAGCATATACTTGTATTATTGTTGGAATGCAATTAATTTGAGCTTTTTTTCTTAAAAGTAATTTTTAATATGAATGGAGGTCAACACAATGAAGACATATCAGTCTAAGTGAGTTTCATCGGTTTTGGATCAACCCAACGACCTAACCTAATATGAGTGGATATACGGTTTATATCAGAAGCAGATGGTTAGTACTACGTTGAGAGGCTGAAGATGATTGTATCTGCTTTTATGTAGTACTCTTTTAGCTGCAATATCAATTATCTTACTATGCTCTCGATATTACTATTTGTTGATAATAGTCTAGATTCATGACAATCATGTCAGTGAGGTTAAAAATAGTTTATTTGAGTTGGTTATGATTCTTTGACAAGGGCTGAAATTAAGTGCTACGTTTACTTATAAAGGTAATGGACTTGTTACTGACAATCTTCAAATCATCTTCACAGTTCCTGAATAACTATCCACGTAGTGCTACTTAAGTCCTATGTTATGTATGCTCCCAGGTCTATATCAGTGTCATATCAGAACTTAAGGTTTTATAAATTATTGAAACCCAGTGAGTCATTGGTATTCAGTGTTTCCCCCCACTTGAAATATATTTATTGATATAATTTACACAAGACATTAATTATTTCTAATATTTTATATTAATTAAATTATTTATCATCGTAAATTTAAATTTGATGTT